CCCTGAGGCTTTCCTTGAGCTTCCAGGAGGGCGAAAATGGCCTCCCCGGGCTCAGGAGGCCCTCTGGAGGCCAGAAACAGGCCTGTTTCCCGCCTTCTGGAGCCTCCGGGAAGCCTGTTTTACACCCTCCCTGAGCTTCCATCGGGGCCCTGCATTTACCTGGCGTTTAAAATGGGATGCGTGGGGGCACCTGGGAGGGGCAGGGCGGGGAGGGTGGTGCCAGCCAGGGATGGGATTTACCAGTTCACCAAACCGGTCATTAAAAATGATAACAAATTAGCAACCGGTAGCAGCCCACCCCCTGGATGGAGGGCCACAAACCTTCCAATTGGATGAACATTCTTGGCATGGCACCAGGCAAGCATCCGGAAAGCATCCGGTTTCTGGATCCGGCGCCGGATATGGGCAGCCCTGCCTTGGGTTGGCCGTGACCAGCCTCCTCCCGGCCTTTGCAATTCCCCTCTTCCAGGTGCGAATCCTTCCGAAGATGTCAGCCTACAGACTTGCTACGCCATGGGGTTCCGGGCGTGTTTCGGACACCTGGCCTCCTTCATCCGCCGAAGCCCCCTGTCGGTCCAGAGACACTTGTGGGAGACGCTTCACGTCTACCTCGCTGCCACGTTGGATCCGTCCCCTCCGGATTGGACCCCTTCCACGTTTTCTCCCAGTTCTTCCTCCGAGGAATCTCCCGCCGGGACCCCCGAGGTTTCCTGCTCCCCGTTGCAACCAAACCGAACTTTTGCAAGCTCAGGCATGGCTTCCTGCAGCACAGGACACCTGGGAAGGCAGATAAGAGACCCCCGCACTCCTGAAAGGGAAGCCTCGGACAAAAACGTGTCCCTGCACCCCACTTTCTGGCGTCCTTGGCCCTAAGGGGGTGGGTGGGTCGGAAAATATCCTGGACCTTCCCCTCTTTGCGTCGTAAAAAAAAAAAAAAGTAGATATCGTAGCGGTCAGCAAAAACCGACTTTTCTGTCCCGTTAGCATTCTCCGACAAACAGATTTCTTAAGGACTAGCGACTTGGATTTCCACTTGGCTCAAAGCCAGGTGGCAGGGGGGCCTGGTTGAAAGCCTTGTGGGATCCTAGCCTGGAGGAATGATTTAGAAAACCCTGGTGTCAGGATTCCGGCAGTTACCCCCAAATAAATCAGGAGTCTCAAGCCAAACTTCCAAAACTTATAAAGGATTTATTGGGAGTAAACATGCCAGCACTGCCCGGGTGTAGCCGACACTGAGGCACATAATTCATTGTCACCTTGACCCTTGGTTTTCCCCCATCCCCCTGGGTGTATTGTAATTCATATTCTCCAATGGGACACGTCCATAGCTCAGAGCCACCAATCGTGCTCTCCAGTTAGATCATTGAGTGGCAGAAACTTTGGTCACCTAGTTACTATCTTTGAAAACATTTATGGAATGCGCTTTTGATTTCCAAGCTGCTACACTGCTCTTTCAAACCCCCTTTCCTCCCCCTCCCTTTCTGTTGGCAACTCTAAAAAGACCATAGGAATGTTTTATGAGTGGACAGCTGGTGTATGCCCAGGATGTTGGCTTCAACATCCAGGTTTAAGCATAACCTGCGAATCCAAGTAACAATGATTGCTGGGTTGGTTTCCTTTCATGGTTTTTAAAAATTATTATTATTTTTAAAATTGTTTTTAAAGGTTTTTAAGGGCCAGGGCACACAACCCTCCCAATAACACCAATTTTGCAGGTAAGTAAAGGATGTTTGGGAAAGCAATGGGTTAAATTTTTCAGCATCCTGTCTACAAACAGCCTTGGGGGACTTGGGGGGGGGAACCAACTTATCTTATTTCACAGGGCACCGATTGGGGGAAAACCCTGCTACCTATATCACCTTGAACTCCCAGCGATTCAGACATGTGGACTTCAACTCCCAGAATTCCTCAGGGAACCGTATTGTTGGCAAAATATATACATTTTCCACCCCCTCCCCTAGAAAAATAAGATTCCCACAAAAAAAAAGTTAGTTGCATTGGCCGGGAATCGAACCCGGGCCTCCCGCGTGGCAGGCGAGAATTCTACCACTGAACCACCAATGCATCTGTTACAGATGTGAAGGACAATGCATCCTCTTACGTGCTGCTCCAGCCTGTTCTTTTAAAAAAAATATTTATTTGTGAAATTTGTATTGCTCTCCATCTAACAAATGCATAATTCTTTTTTTTTTTTTACCCGCTTTCCCCTCCAATTTTGAAAAAAGATTAGGGGGAAAAAAATCCTTCCGCTGTATTTCAATTCCTGGTGACTCCGAGGATTTTTCCACACCGTTTCCCTGGCTACACTGCAAAGTCCAAATTTTGTCTGCCACGCCCCATTCCAGAAGTGTGATGACCACTGTATACAGGTAGTTGATGTACGATCACAATTGAGCCCGATGTTTTTGTTGCTAAGTGAGACATTTGCCATTGAATGACCCTGTAATCCTTTGTGAGGTGAAGTCAGGGCAACGGAATGGAGCTGAATCTACCCTGAAAGTAAGTCCTAGCTTGATTTTTACACATGCACCCAATATAAGCCCTATTCCCAAAAATAAGCCCTAATTAAGATCCCACCCACTCCGGAGTAGACGGGTAAAAATTAAGCTAGGGTGGGAATGTGGGGGGAGTGGAGCTGCCCTACTACTTACCTTTGGACAGGTATAGCTAGGCCTCACACACCCTGGCTTTCCTGAAGGCCTCTGGAGCTGAGAGCAAAGCTCTGGATCAATCCGGAGTTATCAGCTGCGAGGCCTTCAGGAAAGCCTTGCCAGCTGCAGAAGAAATGGGCCAGCCAGGCAGGTGCCAGGGTGTGTGAGGCCTAGCTATACCTGTCCAAAGGTAAGTAGTAGGGCAGCTCCGCAGGGGAAGAAGTTCCTAAAGGCCTCTGACAACAAAAAGGAGGCGCACAAGTTAGGTTAGTCAGTGGATGACATCTCCCGAAAATAAGACCCGGTGCCTTTTTTTGGTGGCAAAAAATTATAAGACAGGGTCTTATTTTCGGGGAAACACGATACCAATACTCGCCAGTTGGGGAGTCCTCAGTGTTCTGCATGTGTTGAGGTTTGAAAAAACAAAAAACGGTTGCATTCATTCACCAGTCCTGCAGCTGCTCAACATTTCAGAGGCGTTGCAACAGGACAAAAGCATGCCCTGCGGTATAGTGAGGGGAAGCAGGGCTTTCTTGGTGGTGGCTCCTTTTGGGTAACATTTTTGGAACGTAAACCGGCACTCCGCACCAGCCGATGAACTGAAAAAAAAAAAAAATTAACATCAAGAGATGAGAATGCAACGGAAGGCATTTACGGCTGTTTTTCACAGCCTCCCCACGTGACCCAAATTTGGATGCTCGGCCACTGACTCGTATTTACGACAATTGCAGCATCCCGAGGTCACGCGATCCCCTTTTTGCAACAAGCCGAGTCGACGGAGAAGCCGGATTCACTTAACCATGGGGGGGACTCCCTTAACAGTGGCAGCGTTTCGCTTAACGACGGTAACCAGGGAGGTTGTAAAATGGAGCAAAACTCCCTTAGCTTGCTTAGCCATTTAAAAAAATTGGGCTCGATTGAGGGCTCTGTATAGATTTTTTGGATAGTTCTGTATGGTTTGTAAATATATTCTAATATTATTTTTGGGGCACAGTTCCTGTTAGAAGATCATTGATATTAATATAGTTTTGTTTTATGCTGCTAAGTGCTTTCAAAGGACAGACTTGAAATGTATAGGGGTGAAGGGAATAAACAAACAGAACAAATAAATTGAGGATTTAAAAAAAAAAAAAAAGTCCTGTAAGAAAATGACTTTTTAATCCAGGATCCTTGCTGTATCTTTTATGGAGCTAGCCAACTGTGTTGTAAAGGCTCAAAAGAGACATTTGCACCAAATAAAACATAAAAGTCCAATGTCTGCCCTTCTTCCGCTGAGTTTGTTCTCTGTAAACTTATTTCACGAGTTCTGTGAATGCAAAATTGGCTGGACTTGAATTTTCATTCGTGTGGTGCGTCTTGTCAGCAAGAGCATGCATGCTTCCACTTGCTCGTAGCCATCGATTCATTTCAAAATTCAAATGTTCTTTTAATTTCAGTGGCTTTTAAGGGGTGAACATCAACTCCCAGAATTCCCCGCCCAGCAAAGACGTAGCTGATGACCTTGACCTTACAATATTGGCCTTTTCATTTTTCCATCCCTAACGCACAATTTGCCGTTTTCCAATAAATGTACCCAATGGCACCATCATCATCACTCAGCAAAAATCTCAAGATCATTTAACGACCCCATAATCCCTTGCGGGGTGATGTCGGGGCAACTGAATGGAGCTAGCCGCCTGTTTACTGGCCGGATGCCCTGCCAGTGCAGAGTTTTGTTCAGCAGATATATTCTTTATTGTGCCAAGAGAGAGAAATATCTGCCTCTATCTACCCTAAGATCAAACTCACAGCCTCCTGATTGTGAAGCGAGCTCTACATCTAGGCTGCTGCACCACTCCAAATCTCAAGATCACATCCGCAATTACCGACAATGTCACCAATGTGTGTGTGAATGGTCTGGGCCCTAGTGTGTGTGTATATATAAAGGGTTTAGTATGTATGTATGTATGTATGTATGTATGTATGTATGTATGTATGTATATTATATATAGTTCACCCGTTTCATTCCCTTTTGAGTTCTTCGTTGTGCTCTCTTGACAAGTTTATAGTCCTCATGGAGAAGTTGCTTCATTTTCACCCCAGCCGGCAACCTTCCCATCGCACAAGCCTTGTGGGATCTACATTTGGTGAGGTCACAACACGGCTTATTTCCTCCTGACCTCCGATTCTTACTTTACAGCTGGAATTTTTTAGGAGCCGGGCGCGAACTCAAGCTTAGAGAAATAGTAAAAAGAACATTTTTTTAAAACTCACTTTCTTTTGCTATGGAACTAGGTTCGAGATACCGAAATATAGCTTGTGGTAGAAGAGACGCCAGTAAATAATCTTTGAATTCTTCTTCGCTTATTGTGGTTTCTATCATCCTGTTTGGCTGGTTTATGATTTAAGGCAGGAGAATGAACTTAATATTGTACCTAAATTGCGTTGTACAAATGCAACCGCAGATTTTAACACCAGAAATAAATTATGTGGTAACGGAACATGCCCAACACCGATAGTCCTTGACTTAACGACCACGATTGAGCCCAAAATTTGTTGCTAAATGAGACATTTGTTGAGCTTTCCCACATATATACATACATATAACAACAACAACAATAATAATAGGATGTTCCCGGAAGAGGTTTTAAAATGTCAAGAAAATAGGAGGAGGAAGGTGTGTGGGATACATTCGCCATTTTGAGATATTTGTAAAAAGAATAAAGGCGGTGTATAAATAAATAAAATGGAATTAAACTAATATGCTGGTCATGACAATGTGAACGAAATCCACCCCTTTTTAATGGGGATTATAACAGAGGGTCTCCAGCAGACATAGTGATGTTTTTGTTTGACTCTTTCCTGACCGAAAATAACTTTCAATGAAGAATAATACTCATTTATTAAATGTGTGTGTGTATGTACACATATACATACACACACACACACACAAACTCCCCAGCAGCTCTGAAAAGATTACTAACTCCGCTACCGGTCTGCAGTTTGGGGTAGGGGGGCGAAATAGAACCAACGTCTGCCAAGATTCTTGTCCACCAAAAAAACCCCACATTGCTAGTTTGTTTTTTTAAAAAAACATCCTAAAGGAACATACAGGAAACTTCACCCCAGTCTGGGGTGTATATTATTCTTATTGTTATTATTATTAATCAGTCAGTTGTTGAGTTGCTCTTCCTCTTCTTCCAAGAACAGGAGGAGGAAGAGGCCTTGTTGGGATCCTTGATG